ACGAAATTAAATTCTTCCGCAGGTCACATTACTGAATTTTATTTACTTAACAATTTTTTCTAAAGATGTGATCTTTGAAAATAATAGAGGATGCATATAAAGTTTTCAATCCATTTAGAAAAATTTTTGTAAGCGTATATGATTTTATTTATTTTATCTATGGTAGTTGTAATCATTTTGGGTAAAATGTTATATATAAATGAAAAAATATAAAGTAAAAGTTTTATGGAATAAACCTGCGTTCTTTAATAACAAATAAATGATGTAACAAAAATAAATCATGTATACTTGATAACATGTTTGTTTTGATATATATACCTCTCGTTTGTTTTGGCGTCATATATATTTATAGATGTATCTAGCCCATATGAACGGATTCTTAATCTCGTTACTTTGCAAACGTTTGATACAATCTGACGCCAAATCAAGCAATAACTAACAGAATTATTGGTCTTACAAATAATGATCAATAAAATTTCAGATTTAACCATGATATTGTACCCAAAATAATTATAATATGAATACAGTAAACAAATAAGTAAATGTAAAATAAAGCGTTTATGTCTTTCAGTAACAAAAAAAAATTACAAATATTCTTCTTAATAATTGCAAATTTTGTTACATTTAACATTTTCTTACGTCGCACGTGGTGTATTCTGTACATTGTTGCGTTTCCATGAACTGCGTATATGCAATATATCTATACTTTCTCTTTTCCCTCTCTCTACCTACATAATATATGTTGGCCCGTATACATACATATGTTATGTATATATCAGGAAAAAAACACCAAAGCATTTTGATCTATGCAAGACTAATGGAACGTGTACGCCATGTACAGAAAAAAACGAATTTGAAACTGTTAAAAAGTTAAATTTGTTTTTTTCTGTTAAAAAACGAATTTGAAACTGTTAAGAAGTCAAATTTGTTTTTTTCTGTTAATGCGACACGCGTTATCTTGTTAGTTGTACAATTTCAAAAAATCGGTAAAAATAGTTCCTGAAAGCAAAGTGTGAATTTTTTTTGCTCAATCGATAGGTACTTTTATATAGATTCACGTGATATAGGTGAATATAGGCGACATTTTCTAGTTTGGCCGCACTAGAGTGTCAAATTTGGGCGTTTTTTCATATGCATTTTTCGCTAACATACCAAATTTCAAATACCGTTAAAAATAGTTCCCATAAGCAGAATTTGAATTTGTTTAGTTTGTTTGAAAGGTAGTTTTATATGGATTTATGAAATGTCCACAAAATTATTTTCTTTTTTTGTAATATGGACGGACTAGGCTTTCAAACCAACTATATCTAAATTGTAATTATTTAACTGGAGATCTGTTAAGTCGTTAACAGAGGTAAGTAAAATCATAGAGCGCCAAAGATTTTAATGCTGGTGCGTATGCGAAATTCGGTCCAAGCCGAATATAACTTTCTTACTTCTTCCTTATTCATTTCCTACTTTTTCTCTGATATATCTAAGGATCGTCACCCTATAGTAAGAATCGACTTGAGTATTGTCATCGCAAATTTGTAGAACTCGTCTGTTTTTGAACAGAATTGTCATTTCTCTTTCATGTTTGACTATATATCGACCAAAGATCATGTATCCAAAGTACTCACTTTGTAGTAAATCTTTATTTCCACTTTTTTAATTGAAGCAAATTTGCTATCAAAGCAGACCCCTACACCAGGAAATGCCAGCAATTTTCACATGGAACATTGTTAATATGGTAAAACGTGGGGAGCGGACATCTTCGAGCACAAATTAATTTTTTGCATTTATTCCAGTTTAAGAACATGAAGTTTACCTTATAGCATAAGGCCATACGATTTGTATTAGCCTGTAGCAGCTGTGGGCATTCTAGGGAATTGAAAGATGAACGCAATTTAACGTTACCTGTTTACATAAAAATTTTGGTGTATGGGACAACCGCAATGAGATTGTTAAGATATAATGCAAACAAAACAAATGGCGTTTCGGATTTATCCGCTTAAGAAATTTAATTTTTCGAAAAGGCAGTTATTGCATTGTTGTTAATTATGATCGCAGTTCTGTGTATAAATTCCTTGAATAGGACACCATGCGGGTGGAATGATTTGTTTAGTGATGATTCAAAATAATTAAATGAAATTATAATTGTTTTACCCTTACATTTTCCAATGCTGACACTGGGCACACTAACTTGTGAATATTTAGAATGTAAACAAATCTTAATGCCAATTTAAACTTCCCAGATACCATCTTCGAGAGTGCACGCATTTGAAAGAGTAGGCATTTGAGCGATAACAGACTGGGGATAGTTAGCACTAGATCTAGAAAGAAAATCGAAAGAGAAATGCTCGGAGAGAACTTCCTTGCAGCAAGATTATCGGATCTAGGTAAAGAAAAATGTTTGAAGAACGAGTCGCGAGAAGCTAAGCAGGAGATTTAAAGACCGGAACATTAGTAAAAAATTTTTTATTTTGATCTCAACAACTGTGCAAATAGCAACAAGAAATGAAGGAAGGCATTAAGTCGAGTTTGGCGCTGAAGATTGACATCAACTTAAGAAAGTATATGAAACGTTTTTGAGGAAATTACTATTAGCATCGGTCCGCTCTTATAATACCAGCGTAACAAGGTAAAAATTTTGACACTTGGCAAACATATTCTTAATTGAGCATCACAGACCAAGTTTAAAATGGCTACATCTCAAATATAGATTTAAAACTTGGCACAAATATTTATCTGAGCTAACCAAAAGTTTTGTATCAATAATTTATGTAATTAATTGCTGAATATATCAGCGATAACCAAAAAACTTTAAATCTACCCCGTACGGCTATTAATAATCTAAACTTTCTAACAAAAACATTCTCAATGCAACCGCAACGAACGTAATAATTTCTGAATTTTATAGAGTTGTCCTGATTGCTCAACAAATTTAATGCTCTTCTCATTTGTATTGTTTACAAGAAGTCTCGTTAAATAATGTTGTTTGCATTGTAGTGTTTAGGTAAGATTTTATAAACCAAACACGTCGTCCTACACAATTTTAAGTACACTCACTAATGTAACCTTAAACAAAGTAAACAAAACATTTCCATTTACACAGTGATAAAATAAAATGTTTTTCAAAGTTTGATTTGTTTTTCACTACAATTCTCTGTTTTTGTTACAGATGAAATGGATAAATTTTAAAGACCCGCTAATAATTTAAGGCAACCGGAAAATTTTTCGAACTTACTTTGACGTTTAACGTTATTTCTAATTTATCTTAAAATTTTTTAGATGAAAAATGTCTATCTTATTCCTTTGCTAATGCAAGAAAGCAATAGCAGGATAGTTTTAGAAAGCAAATAAATAAATAAAAGCGATATCATTAAAGGATGCAGTTGGAATACGCCGATGCACGGAAAGCAAGTTAATATTTTCTTAATAAGTCTAATGTTCTTAATCGACTTAACCCTGTAGACGATTTAGTCGACGGCAAGCCCGCTGTTTAGCTACCAAGTAGAACTATTAAAAAACAACAAAACATTTATCAGTTATTATATACCACTTATATTACAGGTATAATGAATATCAGCGTAAAATATAGTGAAAGCGAATACAAAAATTGAAGCCAAAATTCCTCCTTCTCTGAATTGTTTTCAATCATTTTAGAAACTTTGCAATTCTTTCATGTCCACGCGAAAATTGCCGATTACTATGCGCTGGCTTTATCTGCATATGTAGCGAGCAACCCTGAAACTTGGAACAAATTTTTTTATTTGCGAAATTCAATGCTAAAACCTAATATAAATTTTATAGTTTTTGAATTTGTTGTTTTTTTTATAGTTTTTGAAGCTGCAAAGAATGCATACACAAAATCGAATTTTATACAGGCCTTCGCTTATCGATGCTGCAAGTTATATATAGTATGCATCGTAAACATAGCGTACCGCTTATCAATGAAATAAAGCAAAAGAAAATATAAACAAAAACAAGTGGCACGCTCACGAAAATGCTGAATTTTACTTTCGTTGAAAGCGTGATATTACACTAGGTGCCCTGTATCAAGCAATCGCTAACATCAGCGTAACAAAAATTTAATTTTTAAGTAATTCAAAATATGCAAGAACTTAAGCTAAAAATTTTGTGCATAACCAGTAGAATAATCAAATAAAATTTACAATTCTTTTATGAATGTCAAGTTGAGTATATCTTGGCTATCACAAATATCTGCTGTTGCTTCCTGCTAAATATATATTGGCGGCTAACGAAGCATGCCTCTTTGCACTCACATTGTTTCTTCACATAGCGATCCCGCGTAACTTCACTACAATACCTTACGTAAAGTTGTTTAGATTTACGTTCTTTCGTGTGACTGGTTACTCCAAATTTTTAAATTGATTTAGCTTAAAAAATCTAAAAAAGTTAACCACGAATTCAGACATTTCGACAATAATTTGACGCATTAGGCACTTTACGTAGTGAATATTAACTTTTCTAATTATTTTACTAGCAAATCCGTTGCGGCATTTCCACATTATGATTACATTTGTAGCACAGCCTATTTTCGCTGTTTGCGAAAATAAATATATGAGAAAAAATCGACTTAAAAATTGCGAAACAAAGGAAAGAAAGAACTAGACGATCAAGGAGGATAAAATTTTGCACAGTTTTTTCTTTTTTTTTCAATTTAAAATAGCACTTCAAATCTATTCATATGCGCAACTTAAATTTATATGGTGGAAGTCCCCCATTTTTGTTTTTATTTGCGGAAAAGTCCATGCATGTATGGGAGAATAATTCATTTTCCAATCTTTTGAACCGGACTTCTATGCTTGGTTAAGGGCACGACGATGTTCATTTATTGTATCACAATTGTAAGAGGAAGTTCTTTACTTTATAAATATATTTCAAAAACGTGCTTAAAACAATATATCTAATAATTCTGCAGTTGATTGGACTCGTTCGTTTATTGTACTAAAACTAACCAAACAATTTAATAAAAAAAATTATTAGTAAACACATACCGCTGTTTTGATTTCCATATTTATTATGTTCCACCAAGCGTCTGAAAATGCAGCTCCGTAGTCTGGATTATAGGCTTTTATAAGGCCAACAATATCCATGTTTGGTACTCAATCAATTATTATACCAATTGTTATTGGATATTAAATGTTTTTTAAGATATTTGTATTAGAGTCGAATTAAATGCTCCGTAAACACGAGAGCATACAAATTGTTATTGTTTATTTTTTCTTTTCGACTTGCTTCTTGTTTTAGCCTTATCAAAAACGTGCGGGTTTATATGTTTGTTGATGAGAAAAAGAGAGAGTGAGAGAGGGATTCCAGAAGGAAAAGAATTATACACAAACAAAAAGCAGCTGTTTATTAACGAACAATTTATACCCCTCCTCTTGTTTTCCTTGCTTCCGAGATTTTATGCAGTTTATATTTCACAATCGTAAGAAAAGTCAAAAGCTAAACAACAAGTTGTTCGAAATCTTTCAATTCTTTTTTAACATTTTTGTTTAAAATGTCGTTCATACGCCGTAAATATGCGCATATACATTTTTTGTCCTCTTTATATTTAATAGTTTGTAATGCAAAGAACTTTTCTCACCTACGGGCTTTACTCAATTATTGAATTTTCGCAATTTGTAAAAATAAAAGATCTCTCGATAAGAGTAAATATATACATGCACTCCACATAAGTAGATTTTGTTTAAATGATTTGCTTTTTCAAGTAACTTTTAAGAATATTTGTAAAACACTTATATAATCTCTGTAAATTATTATAAATATATTTAATGTAAATTTTTATAACTATATTTAATGTAAATTATTTATTATTCCTCAATTTACTTGCGTTACAACAAGAAAGGAATCCCTTTCGTTTTAATAATGGACAACAATAAAAGCGTTGCTAAAGATTGAAAAGAAGTTTTACCGGATTGTTTCAACTAGTTTTACAAAAAACAAGTGGCATCTCTTTGAATCTAAGATTCAGAGTGCTCAATCGATTTAATTGTGCATTCGAAGCCACATAATCAAATCGTAATCACATATGAAAATTGTTACCTTGGGCGAAAGTTAAGTTTCAGCTATGTGAATATCCCTCAGTATCTGTTTGTACCATAAATACATATTGTATTAAGCTGATATTTTCCTATTGTTTGGTATATTGATTTTTAAGTGATCGCCAAGGGCTTCAAGGAAAAAGCTCAATTTTCAACCGAAAAAAGGAGTTATAAAAAATGTTTAAATTAAATTGTTAAAAATATCACGTGTTATTTTAGAGAAACTTGTTTTAAAGACGTTGTACGAAAATCGGCTGAAACGATGAAAATTGTTTGAGTTATGCTACGTGGCGTTCTCAAAAGTCGGGTTTCGAGAGACATGTCTTTAAAGTTTCAAGTGGCCAGATGCTACGGGCATTCAAAGATTTGCTACGCCAGAAATTATCATTTCGTGTTCTGACTATTTAAGGAATCACTTAAGTCAATAAAAAAATTAAGTTTCTAAAAACTTTACACTAGTGGTATCCCTTAATTTACTTTTTCGAATGCAAATTAAAAGTTTATGAATTATATTTCCTTTTGCAAAACTTTGCAGGCTGTAGTGTGATGGAAAATGCTACAAGATTGACTATATTTTTCCAGTCTGATCCAAAATTTACAACAATTTCCTAATAAATAAACATTTTTTTAAAACAAATACGTAGATAATATTAGCGTGGACCTTCTTTGGCGTTTGTTCAAGTACTGAAAAACGCAGAATAAAAAATTTTATAAATAACTATTTATCAATAAAATAAATAATTTTTTAAAAACGAATAGATTCTAGCTCCATTAACTATCGGTTACGAAAAATTTCGATTCAAAGTCTGCTCCTTTTTCACTGCAAGCATTTTGTTCCATTATTGCTTCATAGTCAAGAAAAGAAAATAATACTCAAAAAATACATAAAGCGGGAAAAATACTCGTACAATTCTGGGTGATAATCACGTTTGAAAAATTCAGTTTTCGGTTTCATATTTAGTTGTTTGGCAGAAACTGCAAAGCGAAAGTTAACTATCAGCAACGTGACTATCCGCCTGAATTTAATATTTTGCGGCCCGACAAAATTTTACAACGTTGTAAAATCTGGTTGATCTTATAGAAAGAAAATAGGTTTAAAGTCGTCGTTGCCGCAGTGAAAATAAGGAAAATTTGTAATGTTTTTGTTTAGTAAAACTTTACCTTTAACTAACGTGAACAAAAAATGCATTTATGTTATAATACAAAAAATACATTTACATAATTCATGTAATAGAAAAATTTAATAAATGCTTCACGGAAATTTTAAATTAGCAGATCATTTCTATAGAAAAGTCAACGTATTGAAAGCTTTGAGGTGAAAAAGAAATTTAGAATTCTTCAATCTGAAATAAATGACTTTTTTTCGCCGCTTATTTTATCTAGTTTTTAGGGTTTTTCGCATATAAACACTTTTATGTATATCATAACGCGCATTTACACAAAAATTTATAAGCTTTTTTCGTAAACATTTGCTACAGTATTACAGCTTAGCAAAATTCTTGTCGATACAAATAATGAGAATGAAGAAGTACGCAGCCAAATGGCTGCTACTTATCAGAGCTGCTACTGTTATTGACAATAGAATTTAAAAGATACTAGGTTGTTATTTGGTGGTCTCTGGTTTTACAACCACATCTCAATGGAAAGATTGTGCCATCCATTTATAGCAAGACAACGAAACTAGCTGAAATCTGGAGAATTGAATGACAAAGCTAATGAGCTACATACAATGATTGCTTTATGAGTTATGCGCGGCACACGAAATGCCAAAAAAACAAATTGATTGTGCGTTTTTAAGTGGAGATGAACTTATAAGTTGCATTGTGTGAACGCAAATTTTTGGCACACTTTTAAAATATGTGCGTTTGTCGCTTTTGCCAGATAAAACATTGATATATTTTCGTAAAAACAAAACATATTTATATGGTTAGTATTTTAGTTTTTGCAGTAGTTATTTTCGCTTACTAAAACAATCATGGTAAAAAAAGCAGCAATCTTCATGCTGTCGTTTGAATGTACACAATCAATCAACTTCATTTCATCACCAATGAGTCAAACATAACCTATAAATCAAAAAATCAAAAATTTCAATAAAAATCATCAAATATTTCATCACCAGTCAAGCGTAACCTATAACTAAAAAAATTAAAAAGTCTAATAAAAATCATCATATAATTCAATATAACCAATAATTCTTAAAAGTGTGAAATTAAAAACTTAAATTACATTACTGGATTATGGGCCTATAAGATAACAGTTCTCTCCATGTTTTAACTTACAAACCAAAAGAAAAGCAGCAAGTTGGAACAAAAAGGGAAAAGAAATTTAATTAAATTACCCTGACAAAATTAATTTGTATAATTAGAAATAAAATTGAATCGATTTGAAGAGAGGGAAGGAGCAAGAAAAGTGGTAAAAAAACGCTTGGGAAGGTATATCGGAAGAAGTTGGCATGTCCAGTAAGTATAACATAACAAATTTGCAACTAATCGAATTTAATATTTTTTAGTTGAGAAGTGCAAAGCGGTTGGAAGTCGATGTAACATGGGTTTACCGTGGACTGCAATAGGAAGCGGTTGGTTTAAAGTCCAGCACATTCTAGCCACAAGCCACAAAATTGCGCAATTAGTTCTGGAAAAATATTTAACTTCTCTAAACGCAAAGTTGAAGATAGCAAACATTTGAAAATAATGTACAGATTGCCGAATATGGAAGAGGAAAGATTGAAAGGAAAAATCAAGAGAAGAAAAAAAAATGAAAAAGAGATGCGAAAAACAGAAAAGAGGAGAATAGCGATCAATTCGACAAATTTTTTGAATCAATACTCAATCAAGTAGACCCTCAAAGATAACAAGATTTGAGAATGAATATGCTCAGCTGTGCAAACAGGAGAATTGAGGAAATTTTGAATATATAAGATGTCATTTAATACAAAACATAAAATTGGCCAGAAACATATTGAATTAAAAATTATTATTATTATTATTATTATTTTAATTTTAGACTAATGAATTGAATTCTTAGACTAAAAAAAAGACATTGAGCACTAGCAACACAGGCTATCGGCTCTGAATTAAAAATATGTAGTGACTTTTTCATATTTTTATATTGTGAACGTATATTGTATATAAACGCAAGTCGTAGGATTTTCCTTTAGCAATGTACGCAAGGCACTTGTTCAAATCATTTTGCGTTATCCGTCACGCAAAATACAATCATGGTGTTTATGCTATGTATGTACTGCTCATATTTTCAATTGTTAACAAAAATAAATGGAGCTTTTCTGTTTTCTTAAAATCTACTAGTGCTGTATAACATAATAGTGTGCATACAGACACTCAATTAAAAAGCAACTAAATCAATCTGTTAAAGGAGACAATTAGCATGTATTCATAAATAGTGGGCCGAGAGTAATTTAAAAAAATTTTCTTTGCACAAATGATTAACAAACTTAACTTCATTAGAAAGGTTTCTCCTCTTGGTCAGAAGATTTATTTAATTTAGTAGAACTAAGCTTTATATACGTATGACTACGTAAAGAAGTTAAAAATGTATTTGCCACATTTCCAGCCGAAATATGAATTTTCGCCCCTTATTGGCGAATAAAATCTAGATACAGAAGAAAGAAAAAATTTAAAAGAAGCTAAATTTATATATTTAATGTCCTTTTCTTTTTTTTTCCCTTGTCTTCGTCTTCCCCAATTCCTTTTTTCATTTCGCTTAAGATAGCCCCTTCGCAAAGAACTAATTACTTTCAAGTGGCTTAACTCGTAGAAAGTGTCCTTTTTACTGTCATTTGTAAGTTAAGTTAATTGCTATGAAGTAATCGTTGCTTTCTCTACTTTCCTGCTCTAATTGAAATTAAGTCAAGTCAATGACTTTAAATATTTATTTAGTTTCTTTTTTCTTTTTGTTTTT